TGTAGAACAATGGCTTCACATCACATACCAAAAATATTATTATAGACTTTGTGGAAGAGACAGAGGGACAGGACCGAAAAACGTATTGTAGCCCTGCTGCATCCCACAAACACTCTATTCCACCGGTGTGGCAAGGACTCTTCCCACCCCATCCATTTATGGCCATGCTGTGCTGTGGCAGTACCGTCCGCAGTGTCACCGTGAGGCCAATGTCAGAGGACAGCAAGATGAATGGGAAGCACCTATGCTTCAGACTAGGATGGCCTGGATTCCAGTCTCAGCTCTGATGTTTCCTAGCTGTGCAAACTTGGGCAAGTAACTTAAATTCTCTGAGTTTTGATTTCCTTATTTGAAAATGGGCCCACGTTATACATTGCTGTGGGTGGTTCAGAAGATTAAATAATAATTTGATAAATGTGAAAACATCTAATAGAATGCCTGGAACTCAGTAAATACTCCACAAATGTTGGTTTCATTCTCTTTCTTGCCTGCTTTTTTCCTTTTCAAACACACCTCATTACAAACAAGAAAATTTATATTTTTTGCAAACATAAACTAAAGAAGTGATTCCTGGTTGTGGCTTGGCAAAATTCCAATTATTTTCAGCAACATCACACAATTCTCAAATTAAAATTAATTTTAACTTAATTGTTTTAAAATGCCACTTGAGTAAAATGGCTGGTATCACAAAATAAAATAATAATAACTGTAGCAACTAGCAAGAGGTTGGGAATCCCCACATTAAAACAAAAAGAGAAGTGGAAATATGACATTTACGAAAGAACCAGATAGGATCTTCAAAACTGGGAGCCAATGACTATAAAGGGTAAACACAGCCACCACACTTGACTTACATCATGATTTTTCATGCTGGTGAGATGATTAAAGTCACAACACAGTAATTCTCATGATAAATCGTGTATGACAATTTCACATACAAAAGTATTGCAATAGAAACAAAAGGTAATTTCTGTTCCAGTAATATTTGGACATTTACGTATAAAGATAAATGTTGTCTACATTTTCAAGACAATATGTATGAAACTTAGCTAATTGTAAGAGGATACAGTAAAAATTAATAATGGACCAAATATCCACACTAATAAAAAAAAGTCTCAAATTTCCAAGTCTACTGGAGTTGAATTTAGAAGCCATGTACAAATATGAAGAGAAGTTTTATATAACGTCTTACTATTACAAATGAAAGGCAAATTCTGAATTTATTCATTACTGAGCATACATACAACACAAAGTTATTTCAAGTTATGCTTTGTATCAACTTCAGAAGTAAAGATCAACTGTCAGAACCTCACTGGCGGCAGTGTTGACACGTGAGCTGCGATGCAGGTGTTGGTAATGGGACACCCAGAATGTAATGCCGTCGATCATTATTAGCATTTATTCTTTTAGGTGCTGGGACATATCAGAAAACAAAACTGAAAAAATCCTTCTCTCATAGAGTTTACATACTAGTGCAAAGAATTTTTTGTGTGTGTGTGTGAGGATGATCAGCCCGGTGCTAACATCTGCCAATCCTCCTCTTTTTTTTGCTGAGGAAGACTGGCCCTGGGCTAACATCCGTGCCCATCTTCCTCTACTTTATATGGGACGCCACCACAGCAGTGCTTAACTGCTGGGACGCTTATCAAGAGGTGCGTCGGTGCGCACCCGGATCTGAGCTAGCTAATCCCGGCCGAACGCAGCGGAGCGTGCATTGAACCGCTTGCGCCACCGGCCAGCCCCCAAAGAGTTTTTTTTAAAAAGTGAATTATACAATACGTTAGAAGATAAAAGGGCCATTGAGGACAATGAAGTGAGAGGGGACATTGTATGTCTCTACAATATACTTGGGAAACAATTGGGTTTTGAGAATTAGAAACATCGTAAGAGTGTGCATGGGTATTAATAAGGAGAAACTAAAGTGAACAGAGACTTTAATGGACATTGGACAGAGTAAATGCACATTATAGCAGGGAAAGGGGAGATTATAATAGCAGCATCTTAAGATTGTCAGGAGGCTTAGATCTTTTTTAGGAAATCTTCATTCTTCAGATTAGGAAACAGAAATCCTGAGAGTTTAATGAGTAGAGAACAGGAATAGAATAGGAGAAGAGATGTCGCAAAACAGCATTTATCCCTTAGGTTAACACTTTTACCTATCCTGAGTGCAAATATTTTCTTATGACCCAGAACCAAGTGTTCTGGGTTTCCCTCTACTGAAGACATTAATTATGTATAATTGTAATGCGAAAGTACAAGGTTGTTGGTGGTTTGGAGGTCTTCCCTGTTGCCCTCAGAGGTAATGCCATCCCTGCCAGTGGATGAGGGTGAGAAAGTCTCTCTTAAATAAACTCACTGTCCAGGCACTGCTGGGTGAGGCTGGCCTGAATGGGGTCTGGGCTGAGAGAAGTGGCCTGAAATACCCAATTGTAGTCCTTCCCATTCTGGGGATTTGGAGGTGAGAACCCTGGCAGGACCAGAGCGCAGGCAAATGCTTCCCCTGGTGATCTTTAATTAAACAAAAACTTTAAGAACAATTTGCACTTCATCTGGTGGTGAACAAGGAATCATCAACCAGGAGGTCTCCTGATCGCCGGGAGCCAATTCTTAAATGAATAGGAAGAGACCTATTTTTAGTGGGTGGCATCCCGGTTTCCATTCACCATTATTCATAGGTCACTGTGCTGACTCTGTGGCTTCTGAGGACCTTCTGGGCTTGAGAGTCATCATGACTTCAGCATGCTATCTTGTTTCCTGAGGCCTATTACTCCCGGAGGGGCAAAATTGGAACACTCTGTCATGGGTTTTGCCCCTCGTTCCCAGCCTCGGTGGCTTTGCCTTCATGTGGCTGGGACAGATAAGAGGAATATTTCTTAGAGTTAGTGGAATCTAATTCAAGGGCTGGAAGCTAGGAAGTCAAGTACATATCCATCAGCACCAGGGGCCTGTAGCAGGGGTTCAAACAGCAACAAATTCCAGGTTGGATAATGAATAGAACAGAGGAGATGCAGTGGAGAGGATAAAAATCTTAGTTTCCTGAGTTTTATTACAATAGATAAAATAATTATAGTAATGACAATGATATGGCAAGCTTTAGCTTTGGAGGAAACTATTGTAGGAGTCAGGATTATAAATCCTTACAATCCCTAATGCATTAATCTTCAACCTTCTTTAGTTAGGTTAATGTATTTACAGGGAAGCTTAACGTTGTCCCAAAATCAATGTCAAGGAGCCTTTACTTTGGAGCAGTCTTAGTTGAGCCTCTTGCCTGGTGATTGGGTCAGTGCCAGAAAGGTTCAATCAGAAAGCACTGTGTTCGCATTGATCTTAAAGTGTTTTGAAACCTGTTGCTGGGAAGAATACGTACCTTTTTTCTAACTTGGAGAAAGTCCAGGAAGAAGCACAGAGAATGACCAAAGGAATTGAAAATAGAGTCTAGGAGGAGAGTTTAAAAGAAAAGAGCTGACTTTTCTTGAATAAAGAAGAGGAGGCTGGAAGATAACAATTGTAATGGCTTTGAAGGCTACAAAGAATTCCTACTCATAGTCATTCATTCATTCACTCAAAGTGCCACGCACTATACCAGGACCTGGCGGACATGGGGAAGGACAAAAATAGAGGTAAACCAAACAAAGTCCTTGGCTTCAAAAATCTCTTCTCCACTGCCAGTGACCAAGAACTGAACAAAGTTGTGTGTAGGGTTGTACACAAGTAGGAAATAAGTCTGATGTGAAGGGATTTGAGAAATTGATATGCTTGCCAAGGCCAAAGTAGCAATGGAAATAAGTACATCCCCACCTGCCTTTGTTTATGAGAACTACTGCTGGTTAAATGGTGAAGTAATTTTCAGAAAAAAAAATTACAGCTTCAATTTTGTAGTTTGGAATATTCTATTATAGCCTCGTGTGGTCGGTTAAAGTAAGGCAATGATTTCGTATTTCCACTGTGATTTTTCATCTACACTCGACACTGTATGATTCATATCAGGGTTTATCCAGGCCACAGAAATGGCAGAAAAGGAAAAGCCGGTGGTGGCATCTCTTCCCACCACACTGAAGTTAACAAAAAGCCCACTGGCCCTGTTTACTAGGAAAACGAGTATGCACAAATTCTCCATACCAGCTGTGTTAGGTCTTGAGTTCCTCTTGTGCCACAGGTTCTTGGAATTGCTCAGCTTTTGATTAACTGAGAATTATCATCATTTAGGGGCATAAAAAATTATGATTCTATATCACAAATATAGGGGTGATCTTTTACTTACTTTATTCAAATAGTATAGACAAATGATAATTCAAATACCAAGATAGTGTGTTTTTTGTTTTGTTTGTTTTTTAGTTTGAATTTTCAAGTTTGGCTCTAACCACTCAAACAGGAAAATTCAAATGTTCTGCTCTTGAGTCCATACTTAAGTCCAGTTTACAAACTTACAAGAAACCAAGACAAGAGAGACAGAATTTTACGATGAAATGAAGGAACTGCTCAGGAGAGCAATTTCTGGTCAATATCTTCAATATTCAGTGATCTTTGTGGAAATTTAAGTATGAATTTTATTTAAAAAATGCTCAAGATTATCGTTTATGGGGCTCCCTGATATGCAAACTGCCCATACGGAAAATTATGAGGAATCAAAAAGTTGTCCTTGCTTTTGTTCTTTCTTTGTTTATTGTACACATCATTATAAAATGAATAGGTCATTTTAAAGAAATTGTGTGCTTTTAATCAAGCCACTAAATAACTCATTCTGAGAAAACTATCTACTTTGTACGAAGTATATTGTTTTCTCTTGAAGATAATGCTGAAATACTGAAACATATATATATAATTTATTAATGTAGCATATGGCACAGTAATTGGAAAAAATTGTTTCTAAACATAACCAATTGCAAATCATATGCACATAATTCAATGAAAGTGACAGCTATTTAATTGAAATCGGCTTGTCCCTCCTCCATCCTGAAACAAGGTCTCCTAGGTCCAGTCACCAGCTGTTCGTAGCTTACCTGTCTCGCTTCCAATCAAAGGCTGATTTGCAAAATGCTTGACAAAATCCTTCAAAGATGGGAATTCATTAAAGCCAAATTTAAATGAATATCCGGTATATTCAACATGAAAGTGTTTGACAGAGTCTTTGGCTCTGAAAGAGAAAAAAAAAATGTTTCACATTTAACAAGTGAATATCTTTTTTGAAGGGAAATATAACCTTAGGTATTAGCATCACCATTTAACCCTTCTGTAAACTGAGAATTATGACACAATCACGGAAACCGCTGGCATTTTTAAAGCACTAGTTTCTTTTGGCAGAGCGAGCTCTTCTCAGTTTTTCACTGTAATGGAAGACAAGACAATCTCTCTTGCACATTCTCTGACTTAGGGAAAGAGTCCTTGAACATTAACCCCCTTAAGGGGCATGACTTACAAAGGGCGGGGAATAGAGAGATAGAAACGGCAGGTCACACCCTGCCCAAGTTCTCCTCTGCCCTCGGCCCTCCTTTCTTTCTGGTTGGGGAGTCCGTCCAAATTCTGCTTCTGACACTTAGTGAGTTATGCGAGCCCAGCCCTTTTCCTGCCATGCCTAGTCCCCTGCTTACTGAATACAATATCAAAATTTCGTACATTGTCATTTCCCACCTCATTTTTGGAATGAGACAGAGCATTAAATAAATTATAAATTATGTATTTAAATGTCCTTTGACTTCCACTTCTCCTCTCCTTCTATGCAGGGCATGCTCCAATTGGAGCACGAATCTGAAATCAGAATCACCTGGAGGGCTTGTTAAAACCCAGATTTCTGGGCCCTACCAGGTGAATGCCTGATTCAGTGGGTCCAGGGTGGGGCCTGAGAGTTTGCGTTCCTAACCTGCTCTCCACGGTGCTGCTGGTCTGGGAGCCGCACCTGAGAGCAGCGGCTCTCATCCAGCGGGACCTCCAGTCCTCCCAGGACTTGCTGCCGCTGTCCCTTAGCTCCTCCGGTTCCCTTCCTTGCAACAGCTTCCCCTTTGTTTCTGGCCAAGCGTCCCTTCAAATATCACCTACTCTGTCAAGTATCCGTGAAACTTCCAGCCGAGTTGCTGGCTTTTTCTCTTCTCAAGCGCAGCACTTGTGCTGTCTTTCCTGTCATTAGCGCACTCGGGTTTCAGAGAGGTGAGTGTCTGTGGCCTGCCTGCCCTATGAGGCTGTCCTTCCTGAGGGCGGGCTCTCTCAATCTTCCACAGCACTTGTCAAAGGGGTTGGCACAGACTGGACGCTCTTGCGTATTTATTATTAGGAGAGTGAATGAATGAATGAATAACAGCAGTCATTCTCCTGAGCTGGTCAGGGTTCCTGTCGCCTCTGCTCGTGGTTCTTTTTTTTAAAGCATTTCCAAGTGCTTGTAATGGAAATTAATAATTTATGTTTTAAATTTTTATATCAATATAATATAATATATATATATCATCTATTTGTAAAGGGCTTCTGATCTAAATGTCCAGATGAGACATATGTAAGTAAAAAGTTAACATTCTTTCATACAATAATTCCACAGGTTTGTTTGATATTTTGGGAGATCTGTGCAATACAAGATCTGCAGCTGAACCACTTGATGAAGCTTCTAATAATTGCTGTCAATCAGAGAAAGCCCAATTCCTGCTTCCACTCAAACAGAATTCTATTTTTGATGAATAATTTTCCCAAAAATGTTATTTAGAAAATTTGTGAACAAAACATAGCAGAGTAACTTGAAAAATGTCAGTGAATGTGGTTTTTTTCTCTGTGACCCTCTTATTTACCCCATCTCCCTCCCACCCATTTCTCCCACTCCCCTTACAGTAGCCTATAGACTTCCATTGTCCCCAGAAAGGGAAGGTGTGGCAGGCAGCATTCTAACATAGCCCCAATAGTCTCAGCCCGCGGAGTACATACACCTTTTCCCAATTATTCAATAAAATGCTAACGTAGATGCTGCTATGAAGGGATTTTGCAGATAATTAAGGCCCTAAGTCAATTGCCCTTAAAAATAGGGAAATCATCTGGATGGGCCTGACCTAATCATGTGAGAGTTTTGGTAAAAGCAGAGAGTTTTCTCTGGCTGGTCGCAGAAGAAGAGATCAAAGAGACACTTTCTAGCTAGCCTAGAAGAAAGCAAACATCCATGTTGTGAACTGCCTATGGGGGTCACTTGGCAAGGAACTGTGGGTGGCCTTTCAGAGCTGAGAGGGGTCCCTATGCAATAGCGATACGGGAAATGAGGAACTAGTCCTACAGCAGCAAGGAAGTGAATGGAAAGGAATGAAGAGGAGAGGAGGAATGAAGGAAGAGATCATCAACCCCCGGAGAAGCCACAACCTCAGCCAACACATTTATTTCAGCCTGGTAGGAGCCAGAGCAGAGTCCAGCCATGGACTTCTTCTTCATGCCTGGACTGCTGATGCACAGAAACCGTGAGAGAATCAATTTATGTTGTTTTAAGCCACTAAGTTTGTGGGTAATTTGTTATGTAGCATGGAAAATACAGAAGGCTCCAAACCCAAAGAAAAGATAAGAAGGTATGTTAATTTTTGGCTTTTGAGCTCAATGAAGCCTGCCGTCAACTATTTAGGGAAATACTTTTGTAGCCCATTTTTTCCCCCATCAGAGGGAGAGGAGATTTTAAACAAAACAAAATGAAACAAAACAAAACAAAACTTTCGCTGAGGTGGATGGAAAAGAGGATTCAGAGAAAAGAGAGTGTAGATGTTGCTACTGAGTTAGTGACAAGGAGACCTGGACTATGTGGAGCAGGAAAGAAAAGAGAAACCTTTCTTATGCCAGATCAGCGTAAGGGGCTGCAACATGAAGGGAGCCTGTGACTTCCATTCAACGGTCTACGGAGGCACCATCAGAAGAGTAATAAAGCAGAGATGGTTTGAGGTTAATGGGTGGGTGGCTGAGGGCATTTCATGGAGTCCTCACGTCTGCAGTCTAAGCCAGGGGCAACTGCCTAGGCACCCAAAAGACGTGGTACATGCCAGCAGAACCAAGGCGACAGATGCCGACTGACGACAACGCCTCCCCTGGTCGTCTCACGACTAGGTCAGCTTCTCTGATGGAGAGGCCAGCAGGAGGAGGAGGACTGGACCATCACTGTTTGTGGCTGGGTGTACCTCGTGGGGACTAGATTCACAGTGTTAACATTCAGCGAAATGGAGCCTCCAGGAAGAAAGTCAGTCCCTTTATAGAAAAAAATGAACAGTTGCATTATTGACCGCTTGAGTTTTTGATGACGAAAATTGCACAGCTACAGATCATTCTGATTTTTTGGAGGAGGCAAGGAACAATGAAAAGGGTGCTGGGCCGGGTTTCGGGGGTTTGGATTCTGATGCTGTTTCTATTGCTGATTTATTGGGTGCCAGACACTTTACCACTTTGAGTTTCCGCTTCTTCATCAGTCAAACAAGAGGTTTGGATTAAGCAATTCATGAAGTCTCCTTCAGTTCTAACTACTTTTCCCTGCCAATGGAAGGAGCAAGAAAGTTTTCACAGTCTCACCATTCAGAGCTTGGAGTACTCGACATGCTGGTCTAACATGAATTGAGAGAATTTTGTTATCTGGCAATTTGAGTGTGATGATCAAGTCAGTGCCCATATAAGTAAGAGATGGAACCACGTTGAATTCATAGAGTTCTTAAGCATCTTACCTCACAGAGAGAGAGTACAGCCCGGTCCTTTCATTGCTGTCCCTTAGAAGGTAGCTGCCGTCACATCCATTTGAGAGGAGAAGAGCCTCAGCCGCGTGGCGTGTGAGGTTGCCGTGGTACCACCTAGGAAGGAGAGAACAGCACTTTCACTCAGGGCGCACACAGGGTGACTCCTCCTTCACTGAGTTTCCTCTCAAAGATGACCTCAGCAATAGTCTCCACCACAGGTAGCCCAGAGACCGAGCTCTCAACCAAAACCTCAGGACAAAGAAATCCCTGGGTGAGGCTGAAGGGGAGAGCAGAGAGAGTTGGCTAGTAGCAGAGTGTTAGGGGTTGAATGGTGTCCTGAAAATTCACAATTCATATGGAGAAGTCCTAACCCCCATCACCTCAAAATGTGACCTTATTTGGGAATAGAGTCTTTAGCAAGTTATAATAAGGTCATTAGGTTGGGCCCTAATCCAATATGACTGGTGTCCTCTTGCAAAGAGGGGACATTTGGAAATAGGCTTGCAAACAGGGAGAATGTCATGTCAAGGTGAAGAGAGCCATCTACAAGTCAAGGAGGGGGGCTGGAACAGATCCCTCCCTCACAGCCCTCAATAGGAACCAGCCCTAGTGACACCTTGATTTCAGGCTTCTATCCTCCTGAACTGTGAGACAGTAAATTTCTGCTTTTCAAGTCACCCATTTTGTGGTACTTTGCCATGGCCACCCAAGCAAACAACTGTACAACGTGGAGGCTGGCCTGGTGATGCAGCAGTTAAGTTTGCCCGTTCCTCTTCGGTGGCCCGGGGTTCGCCAGTTTGGATCCTGGGCGTGGACCTACTCACCGCTCATGGAGCCATGCTGAGGTGGTGTCCTGCATAGAAGAGCTACAACTCTACAACTATGACACACAACTATGTACTGGGACTTTGGGGAGAGAAAAGAAAAAGAGGAAGATGGGCAACAGATGTTAGCCCAGGGCCAGTCTTCCTCAAAAAAACAAAAAATGTACAATGTTACTTTATAAACAGAAATTTTTTAAAAGTCCAAATCAAAAATAACTGAAAGAATAGGCTTTGGCCACTTTTCTCTCTTTCTTTTGGTCTCTTTCACATTCTCTTGCAGGTGTGGTGCCCTGGTTTGCAGTGTGGAAAACCCCTGAGCTGTTAGACTAGAGCCCATTGTTGTGAGTGAGACTAAGTTGAGCTTGAGGAATTCAGATGCTATACTGAGACGCAACCCTCACTAGATATCATTTCAAACCGACAAAGATCTGAAGAGCTGGGGAATTCCTAAGGACATTCAAATTGATCTATGTGTTAAAAGTTTGTTTTAGAAAAGGTAACATATATCCATGGTAGGAGGAAATAAATCCAAATAGTTCAAAAAAGACAGTGAAAATAAAGCTTTTTTCTCCCCTTGAAGCCTCAGTCCTCCTGTTCCTTTTCCCAGAGGACACCAATGTTAGCCATTTTCAGGTGTTTCCTCCTAAGGGGTATCTATGCACCTAGAAGCATTCAGGTATGTCTCCCCCCAGTTCTACGGAAATAAGAGCATTCTAGGCACACTGCTCTGCACCTGGCTCCTTTCCCCTAATGACAGACCTTTCACGTTCTTTTTAATGACTAGGTAGACAGTCCAGGGTGGGGATTAGTATTGTGGCCTCTGAGTACCTATCCTGGTGATACCTCTGATGAGCTGTGCAATCTTGGGCAAGATACATAACCAATCTGAGCCTCAGTTTTCTCACCTCTAAAACAGGATTAATAATAGTCATACCTCGTGGGCCAGTTGTGAGTACTGCTCACATTAACACACATGAAATGCTCAAGACAGGCCTAGCTAACAGCAGAACTTAGCACAAGAGTGGTTAAATGAAGCCATTGAGCTCTGCAAGGCCATAACTTGTGATGTATGCTCTGTGGTGTGATTTTCTTGTTGCTCAAATATAATTTTTTTATTATTCTCAACTTATTTCAGATAACAGAAAGCTAGGTACTGGGGACAGTTGCTGCTGCAAGGGACCCACAGTCCAGGGCAGTGGAGAGGAAGGGGACACGGGTAGTTACATAAGTACCCCGATAATGTCACTGAACTCAGTGCTGTTAAAAAGGTGGGTGTGGTGCACAAGAACATGGAGGAAGAGCCCTACTCTGTGGGTGAGGGGTCCTGCTGTCACGAACCACACTGGCGGCCACTGTGATGTCCCCATGGCATGAAGTTTTAGCCTGATAATGAAAAGTGAACATTAAGACCATCTGTGGAAGGAAGTTTCTACATAGGTCTCCAAGCTGTGTGCTTTCTAAATCTGCATTTCCTAATGTTTGTTTCTTTAGCATATTTCCTCTTTGGGGCAGAGATGCCTCCATCTTGTATTAGAAACATATTTGCTTGCTGAAAGCAATGGCAAGGAGAAACATTTTATGAGAAAACCCATTGAGTTATTTACCCACAAAGCAGCCCCCTTCACTGAACTGATCCACAGACAAGTTCAGATCTTCTCACTACAGAATGCTTTCAAAGGACAGTCAGAACCTGGAACTAAGGTAATGTTGTATGTCAATTATACCTCAATAAAAAAAGGACGATTGAAGGAATTACAAGCGAAGCTGTAAAAAACTTCAGGTTTGGCTACAACCAAAATTCTAATTCTTATCGATAGGTGAAATCTCCACAAGTTCACAAGTTCTTGAAACACATTTTTCTAATAATTAATTTTTGGATGAACATTTAAGCATAAGATTCAGTTTGAGCCAGTAGATCACTTACTTGAAGCAACAAAATTTGATCAACAAAATTCTAAAACATAAAACATTTGGACATTCTTTTGGATTCTTTTCAATGAGATCTGAAGTATGTGTTTAAAGCATTTACAGAATTATTCTGATAATTATAGCTTGATGGCAGTTTCTACTAAGAAATTTTTTATGGTGATCTTTTAAATAATAACTATAGACCATAAACACATAAGAAATACTTGAGTATAAAGCAAGAAGAATCCCATTGTGTTCTGAGTGTTAAATTTTGGGTGACGGCTTGGTTGAGTCAATATTGCCATCTCTTGGGGGTTTTTTTTAGGTAGTTTTTTTTGAGGAAGATTGGCTCTGAGCTAACATCTGTTGCCAATCTTCCTCTTTTTCTTTTTCCTCCCCAAAACCCCAGTACAGAGTTGTATGTCCTAGTTGTAGGTTGTCTCTTGGGTTTTATGGAGTCCTGGGCTTGGGCAAACCTACGACAGAATCTGCCAGGCAGCCACCTCCCCTTCCTGATGTCTGTGAGGCGATGAGGATTTTCATCCCCCAAAGACCTCTTCCACAAATGCCTACATTTCCTCTTTTCATTGAATTAAACACTCCTTTCTTAGAAACTTTTGATGAGCACATCTTCCAGGGAAGTGAGTATAGATGCAAACGACACTGCGTATCCGTTGTAGGAATATGTCACCTTTGGTAAGGATGGTTCAAGACTGTGTTCATAAAGAGCTAAAGATTGAAAACATAGTAGAGTTATGTTGGTAGTTTTCCTATGATCAACCTTCTCTACCTTCTATCATTCAGCTTTATAAATCTTTATTTATTACCACACAGGTCAAAGGGAACAAAAATGGAAAAGCCAGGCTAGGCTTCAAGAAACCAATAATCTGGTCCGAAGGACAAAACAAGCACTTTGCAAACCACGTCCAAGAGAGAGTGACGTACCCAACAGAGGTTCCTGGAAGAAAGATCAAGGCCATTCCTTGAATGAGCCAACATCTAAGTAGGCCTTGTAGGACATGTAAGTTATTTTTTAAAGTGTGTATTATTTTTTTTTCTGATTATAAAGCATATGTAGTAAAAATTGAAATATATGCATGTACAGAAGAGAAAGTGAAAGTCTTTCACAGAAGAGGAAATATGCTTTTCAAATAATCAGTCTCACTACTATCAGAGAAATGCAAATTAAAACAACAATGTGATATTTTCTTTATCCACCAGATTGGCTAAAATTGAAGAGTGTGACAATACTAAGTATTGGAGAATTTGGGGGCAGTGGCTATTACGGTCTGCTGTTGGTAGGGGTATGAGTTGGAGGGGACTTTATCACCTCTAGTGTAAGTGAGCACGCACATGTGAATAGTGGTTCCACTTCTAATGTCCGCCTAGTGAATCGCTTACACCAGCAGAAGGAAATATGAACAAACGTGTGTACTGCAGACTTATTTATGAGGGCAGAAATCTGGAACCATCCTAAATATCCACCAACAGTGAGATCATAACCAAAGTTGAGCTCTAGGAGGATGAGACCACGTAAACAGTCCACCAGAAGTGTTGGAAAAGCTGTGAGAGTTTTTTGGTTGCGAAATGAGCAGGGCAGGGGCTAGGTGCTCCCAGCACTTCCTGAGGGCTACCGGGAATGCTCAACGTCCCATAAAGAGCAATGCAGTCCTGAAAACAAGAGCTGTCCAGCTCTGAGTCCCAGTGGCACCCCGCTGAGAAACACTGAGCGTTTGTGTATACACACGTCAAAGTTGATAGATCCCAAGCATACTGTTAGCTTAGAGGAACTAGTGGCAGGTACAGTAGGAAACCACTTAGTTTTAAAAAATCTCTCCCTTCCTCAAAACAATACAACACATATACATTTACATATAAAAATACGTAAAAGCATAAAATAAAAGTCTGAAAAAAATATACACCAAACTCATAAGTATGGTTATATTAGTGGAAGGAACCAGGTTTGAGGTTGTTGTTAAAGGAGACTTTAGTTAAAATCAAACTTTCCTAATTTAGCTTATTCTGACAAAAAAAATAAAAAAATAGACATATATTAATTGGGTAACTAAAATTTGAAAAAAAGAAAATACTTAATTTCTCCCTTAATCCAATTTCCAGAGATAACCCTGCGAATAATTTGCTTTATGTTTTCATTTATTCAGCTACTATCTATTGAACACTGGACCTGACCTAGCACTTGGGTGAGAGAGAGAGACAAAGAGAAAGAGAGAGGGAGCGACTGTTTCTCTATTTAAAGTCTGGTGGGATTTGGAGTGACGATTGTTCAGGGAGCTATTCCGTGGGAAGGGAATAACAGGAGTGAAGTCCTGGAAGCAAGAGCATGCCAGGTGTATACAGGTTCACAGCCCCGCAGAGTGGTGG